TTATGTCAATATATAGGAAGTATGATTTGATTTCTTTCCAAAGAGCTGCGGGCTAAGGGGAAACATCTATACATTAGGGATAAAAATAGCAGTAGAGGCAAAGTGGTTTGGACAAGTTAGACTATTGCCTACAGGTATGAAACTTTGTTTTCTTATATTTGTATATTTGTACAAATATAACCATTTCTCATGATATGGATAAAATTTGTTAGAGCATTGAAATAAAAATGTCCTTAAAAAATCAAAAATAGAGAAAAAAGTGGCAACTTATTAGATAACATGGATTTTTGTTGCAGTGAAACTGCCCTCATTATGTATTTGTCAGATAGATGAATGGTCCAATAAAGAATTACAGGTGGTTCTCAAAGCTGAATAGCCTTTACTTTTATGATAATAAGACTCCTCATTTGTGAAGAAAAAGTTACAGTGGCTGTAAAATATTTGCGACTGGGAATAAAATAAATATGTACAGTAAATAAGTTAATTTGCTGACAAACTAACTTCTGATTATGTGTACGTTTTTAATGAAAAGATTAAATCTAAGACCTATCAAGGGTATGTGCACATACGTGAGTTTCAAGATTCATCACAGGGCTGACTCGACTCAAATTCCTGCAGAGAAGGATATCGTAAGAGAATTGATCTTTATGGAAAAACATAATTTTAATATCATAAGGTATACTCTGTGCAGTAATTTATTTGAGAAGTATTTTAAACAATGTCCACATTGCTAGAATCATTTATAGAAAAGTCAGGCATCTGAGGGCAGAGGCTAAGTCAGTGTTTCACAAAGCAATGTGTGGGACCTCAGAGATCTACGATGGTTTCAGAGAGGTACACCCTGAAGAGGGCCACTTTGAAGAGGGTGGTAGACAAGTGAAGAGGTCAGAGGTGGTTGTGCCAATGGGGAAAGAAGCAAGGGTGGTATTTTTCTCTAAGGTCTAGAGAGAAATTAATTTTTCTGTGACTCCTAACAAGATAATTACTCGCAAAGGGGACTGTCAAGGGGTCATTTCCAAGGGAAGCATGAGACTACCCCCAGGAAGTTGGGGCTTAGAGTGTTTTCAGCTCATAACTGAAAGAGAAGTGTATTCTTCTGCCCATAATATCACCTGGCGGGAAAGAGGTGAGGCAGGAGTCTGCAAAGTGACACAGTCTACATTTTTGTACCTCTACAAAAGCAGTGGGACTTGAACAGAGTGTCTGAAATTTCTACTGTTTTATAGAAACTTGCCTTTTAATGAAAAGAACAAAGCAACCCATGGTGTTAAAAGCCATTTGTCCATACAAGCGCAAAGATTCCTGACCCAACGTGGTGCCCACGACAGCTTCATGCTTGTAAGTATGGAGAGAATTACTCTTGCAAAGGCATCTCTGGGATTAGAAAAATTGTATTCATTCTACCCAGAAGTATAAAAGCTGGCCCCATTATAATATTAGTAAAATCAAGGTCTCCACTGATAACTGTTATTTTAAAATCACAATCTACATCTGTATAATGTCATTCATTCTTAAACAAATGGCAATCAGGAGACATGAGTCTGCCTTCATGTGTTTACATGGGTACAAGGCTGCCCTTCAAAGTCCATATACACAAAGAGAGGCACAGCAGAATTTTCTTGCCTTTGGCATATACAGAAGTTAGTTTATCTGGTTTTCTAATGACTAGAAGTTTATACACCTGGACTTCTCATTTGCAATATTAAAAATCATTGGTGTAAAAACCAGAGTCCAAAATAATGGAAATAACAGCAGTTTGAAATGCTTGGTTTAGCATTATTTATCAGAATACTGTTAACTAATTGCTTTTTTTGTTTGTTTTTGGGAATGGGAAGGTAACATGGAAAAAAAGGGACATTTCACAAATTAAATGTATTTTGTTTGTTTACTAAATGGCACCACTCAACCTTTGTCTCTGCATAAGGTAATAGAACATTTACATTTCCTTTACTTCATTTTGAAGACCTCTTACTTAAAGTCACGTAACATATTTGCCTATTAAACTCTGCAAGGTGGTGTTTGCAAAACAAATTTAAAAAAATATTCCTCTTTACACTCAATGCAATTAAAAATGGTAAAAGAATAAAGAGAATGAGAAAAAATTTAATTGCAGTGCTTTAAAGCAAGTTTTCACAAGTGGAACCAGCTCTTTATATGCCTACTTTCAGCTAAACCTAACAAATAACAATTTTAAATGGCAAACTTATTTTTTACTATGCAAAATCCATCCTACATTTTCATATCCTGCATTTTATTTTAGTTACATAATAGTTTGTGGTTAATTTTCTAGTTTGATTTATTTAATAATATTAAAATCATTTAATATCTGAAAACCTAACTAAATCTACATCTTACAGCATTATCATGGTTTTGCCCAGCTATTTACATGCTCTCATGATCACCTTTTCTATTACCTTATGAACTACATACTAGTTAAATAATCAACATTTATAGATGGATGAATAATTCAAGTTTTGAAATAAAGTTTCGTTAGCTCTAGAAAACATGTATTTACATCCTTCCCTGTTGGGCTGAAACAATTTTATTTTTCTTTTCACTTTGACACTTCAAAAAGCATGTTGATAGCCCCTTGGACTTCATCTAGCAGCAGAACCTCACAGACCTTCTACTGGTTTGTCCTCGGCATCGGGAATATGCACAATCTTCATGTCACGTCCTACTTTTAGAAGGTATTAACACATACATTATAACACTTAGAGCACTATCTCTTCTTTTCTGTTTCTCAATATACAAATAATCAGTCATTCTTCCTGATCTACTAAAAGAGAATCTCATATTTTTAGTTTGTATATTTTAATAAAATTTGAGTTTGAGGGGCCCCTGGGTGGCTCAGTCGGTTAAGCGGCTGCCTTCGGCTCAGATCATGATCCCAAGGTCCTGGGATCAAGCCCCACATCGGGCTCCTTCCTCAGCAGGGAGCCTGCTTCTCCCCTGCCTACCACTCCCCCTGCTTGGGCTTGCTCTCTCCTTCTCTCTCTGTGTGTCAAATAAATAAATAAAATCTTAAAAAAAAAAAAGAAGAAAAATTTGAGTTTGCACTGTTTTTAATTCTATTTCAAGAATATTACTTGAGAAAGAACTCTCACCCTAACCTGTACCACTAAAATTTGGAAAACCAAATCTTACTCAGTAGTCCAACACCTCTTTATGGTGCTGGATGCTTTGTGGTTCTGGGTCTACTCTGATTTAGAGAACACCTTTTCTCATCTAAGAACTAAAGAACAGTTCTTTAAAGAACCATTTAGTTATACAGTTTTTCTTTATCTGTAGATGGGATTCCCCAAGATAGGCCACAAAATTTGGCGACTTAAAAAATATAGTCTGTGTAACTTTACTACTAATTTTCCTCAAATTTACTTAATTGGTTCTGCATGTCTGCATTGATATAACTAGCCTCTGGGATTTGATACTGATGCACTTTGCAGCCTTCGACTGGCATTTTAAAATTTCACTCTACTGGGTTGAATAAGTTATTTTTTGGAACAGATAAAATGATTTTTTCTTCTTTCGTACACTTGAAATATATTTTTCCAGGGGGACAAAAATAAGAGGGAAATCCTAAAACAATTGAAATAAAAAATGTACTATAGAAATCATTCAAAAGGAATAATAAAGTGGTTTTTGTGAAGCATTTTAGGTTCTTTTGGATTATACGTGCATCTATCTCTAGTTGTTAGTGGTAGATTACCTGACGTGTAAGCGTTTTGTGTTCTTAGAATGAAGGAAACTACATTCATTGAATACATTCTATTACCTTAACAATAAAAAATTATTTTTCTTCCCTTCTCAAAATAAGTGATTCTGTTTTCCATATCCCAGAAGAAACGATATGAATATTGTAAATCAGAAGGAAAAAAAATCAAGTTCTACTATCCAACAAGGGTGCTGTAAGTGGTAAGTTGATATAGATTTATCTAGAAAGGGAGGCTTATATCCAAATTCTCACAAGAACTTATGTGAGGTCCCCTTTCTCTGGAGACTCCTCTGGATGGGTGTGAGAGTTTGAAGCTGTGGGCTGTAGCCCTAAGTCATTCTGTGTCTTCAACCCAGAAAAGTTCATGACTGAACCTCACTAGAAGGGATCTTACAAACCTCTCCCTTGTTCTACTTCACACTTTTAGCTTACCTCATTTCTCATAACTTAGTAAGAAACCAGTCCTGATACCTCCAAGGTTCTTGGCCAAAGACCAACACCTGCTGTTGACTTAATGGTCAAATTAGAATCTAGATAGGCTAATTAGCCAGTGAGGCAATATCCTTCTACCAGTTCATGTTTGGATGGTAACACTGAAACTATCCTATTTGTCAGCTTCAGTAATTTGTAGGCTGTTTAATTCATGTTCCAAATGAGTTCACAGGAGATCTTTTAACAAACAACAGATTTTATGACGACTGCTCACAAAATAGTCCATAAAATCTTATTCCTTGAACTTAACGGGAAAATTCAAATGTCATTCCAAATAAATTGACTTAAAATCATTAAGTTAGGGGTAATATTGCATTTATGTTGATGTTCTCCACTTACATAGTGCTCTTAGTAGACTCTACATAAATATCAGTTGAAAAAACAAGGGAATTGAATGGATGGATTGATTTACTTTTTCAAAATAGTCAGAAACCTAGATCTCTCTGCATTTTTTTTTCTCTTTGTAAACCCGCTGCTTTACCAACAGAGATTTTTATTTTCATTGCTTTCTTTTTGGCAATAGACTTGAATTTGATGCCAAAATTTTAGCATTTGAAAAAAAATTTAACTAAAATGACTGTCCAAGCAAATTTTCCTAGAAAAGAGAGACTACCTGATTTTCTTGTTCCAGGAGACTCATTCCTACCATTTGTTCCCATTGCTCATCTTAGTAGGTGTTCTTTTAAAATGATACATAAAAAGATGGTTCTAGAACTAGGATGATGTGTTTGAAGAAAGTGTTATTATACAAAGTATCAAAAGATTAGTATGTTGGATATTAAAATAATTACATGAGAAATTTTTCACGTTTATTTACAACTTTTGACCCAAGAACCTACCTATAAACTGCGAACATTTGTGTATTTTTTTATTATACCAATTTATGTGCAAAGAGTTACCTTCTACTTAGTATAAATAGAGTCTCATCCTAGAAATTCCATGGAATCAAGCCAATCCTTACTTGCATTCCTTCACGTGGAGTATATAAACTGGATAACTTTCCTTGCAGAGCAAATGTGGTATCACTTGTAGATAATGTGCTGGCCCTCTCACCATAATCTCTGGATACTGTTCCAAAGTCCTAATTTGCTTGGTTTGGCATTTCCACAGTCTTTCCTTATCTTAGCTCTTTTAAAAATTGTACTTAAATTAGTTATTTTGCTGGTTGCTTCCATATTGCTTCATTCAAAATCCAAAATGGAGTTCAGAAAGGGAACAAATAAAATTAGAGCTTAAGTGCAAACTACATTTCTGAGTGTCTGCCTGGTAGACATACCCAATCCAGTGTCTCTTCCAGTTCAATGGCTTCCCCATTGGACCACCCCTGAAAGTGTCAGTAGTTTTCATGAACCACACAGAACTGTCTCTTAGTTTCCCTTTTACTCTTTACGTTACCAACTGCCTATCAAGTACTGTCATTTATGGAGAAGAAAATGTTGAAGAATGTAAAGGACGTGGGATACATAGTCAATAGTGAAAAAACATGACGGTTAGATTTGATGTTACACTTGACTAATATCTTGGCCTCCCCGTCTAATTTTAAAGGCTCTATATTTAAAATAATGGTCATTTCACCATATTAAAATATTTTTTTTACAATTCTGTCAATTTATAGCAACACGTAAGAAACTCTGATGTAAAAATAGTTGCAATCAGAAACTAAAGTCAGATTATGTGGGGATAAAAGTAATATAAAGGGAAAGAGCAAAGCAAAATGAAACAAAATGAAAAGACCAAAAAAAAAAAAATCCCTCCAAACATAATTACTAGTTATAACTTTGCGAAAGATTAAGAAATTATGAAAGCTGAGTTGGCTGCCTTTGCTTGTTAGGATAGAAACTGTTGGAAAAAGAAACTGTATTTTCAATCTCAGTTACTATCATATGTTACAGAAAAGGTTATCCTTTTGTTCTAATGGAAACTTTATTATGATTTCCAAGGGTACTGAGAATGTACACATCAGTTCCTACAGATAGGAACAGATAGCATGGGTCTTTCAGGCATCTGCAGTAAAAAAAAAAAAAAAAAAAATAGAAAGAAAGAAAGAAAAAAAGAGAAAACATTGAGAACTAGCTTGACAGCAGGCAGTATTGCCTTGTATTTGCTGGTCCTTTTCTAGCTGTTCCAATCTCCTGACCAACCCATGCAGAGAAATGAAGAAACAGTGTGGTTCCTCCTGTCTTTCTCTTTCAGTTCTTCCTCCTCATGTTCAAGTTAGATAAGCACATGACTATCATTGCATCTCTATATCTTCCACTGGGAAGTGTCAAAACTACTGGCCTTGGGAATAGAAGGAAGACCATAAGAGAAAGAGAGGCGGCCGGGAAATTGGAGCGGGCGTGTCTCTTTCTTAAAGCCACTGCTGAGCTTACACCACAGTATTTCGGTGTCTGTAGGGTGGAGGAGGCAGCACAGTGCCTGGCTTCAGCGAGAACTCAGAGAGGTATTCCGGATTCTCTGCCACAATAGGCCGGATCCGTCCATTTTGTTTATAAAAATATTTTGTGCTGTACTCCTGCAGGTAGTCTGGGTGCTGAAGGGTGCTCCGAGGTGGCAGGCTGTGGTTCCAGTAGTCAGGGTTGTCGAATGCTTTCTTGGCCTTCTCTGGCACAGACAGTACATTGTTCTTCAGGTACTCGGCATTCCCCAGTGTGTTGGCAAAGGTGTTGAGGTACAGTGGCTCATTCACATACTCATCCTCTGCCTTGGGTGGACCATTGGAAGCGTTGTGATATTCGGGATTATCCAAAGCTTGAAGGTCTCCATTCTTCCTCCGAGAAACAAAAGGGTTTTCCTCCACGGGGTTCAGGTATTCTGATGGAATACAAAAGTATCAGTTAATATTTACTTTCCAGAAAATGTTAATCAGACGAAGGTTATACAGGATGGTTCTTTTTCCAGAACAATAAAACCATGGATTTGTTTTCGTGAATTTTCACAAAAACTATTTTGTTGATTACTTTTGTCATATGAAAAAAGAGTAGGTGGGCCAAAACTCTTAATGACTAAACAAGGCAAACACAGGCTGGAAGCAGAGTTCCTGTCCCCTAGATTGTTCCTTTTTCCTTCTAATTCCATTTGTTTCTCCTGCATAGGAGGCCACTTGTTTAAAGGCTTCTGTTTTCTAAAAGTCAGTATTTTTTGTTGTTGGAAAGTATGAAAACGGGGTTGAAAATATGGGGTTAAATAGCTTTTAAATGTGGAGAAATTAGAATTTCTAAAAGGGTACTGGAAAATCAAAATGTCTATAGCTTAACTCCATGCCAAGACGAATGGATGAAGTGAAGGAATGGCATTTTTTAGTCTGTGTGTTTTGCTGTGATGTCCATATAGGGTAAAATGGATTTGATTATAGAATGTTTTCCAGAAAGCTTTACACATTGGAAAGAAAACATCTAAAGAGAAGACTCAACTAATAAAATCTGCTAGACATCTAACATGTTGCTAAATTGACTTGTGTGACAATACATATGCCTAAGAATAAAGTGTAATTAGAACATTTACTTCCACTGGCTAACCATAATCACGAAATAGCAAACTAGTTTGATCATATGAAGTAACTCTTTTGTAGGTTGAAACCAGTCATAATAGTGGCTATTTTGCATGATTCGATCTAATAAATTACTATAGAATATTGACCGGGGAATTTTTTTAAGAGGTGTTAATCAATGCTGCTCTTCTTAAATTTAATTCCATCTCTATGTCTATATGTCTATAGACTACATACAGACCTATATTCACACATACACTAGACCTCTTTTAATGTATACACAGATATGACACTTTAGCTATTCCTTTTTTGGTGTTGGGGTAGGGAAAGGGTACAATTGTTTGTTGAGATGCCACCATTCTGAAACAAACTTTCTATCCTCTATACTTAGCCTGACAAGTAGAGAAAAATAATCTCATCAAATCAGGGTGATTTGTCCCTGGATATAGGCCTGCTTGATATACTTAAGTATTTAGCATCATGTGCAAGTTAAAGGATAGTAATGACTATCCCACCATCATATATAGGAATGACAGGAGCTTACATCATCCTCACAACAATCCTGTGAGAAAGGAAATGAAGCTGTATTTTTTTCAGCTTTATAAACAGAAAACCGAGATTAAATGATGTATGAGGGATACAACTAGTATTGAACTAGAACTCTGATCTAAAACTTCTACTGAGCCGTCTTTTTGTTCTACTGTACTATTTTCATTATTGTCCCTAAAGGAGTAGGGAGAACTTTTCACTTCATAACATGTTGGAATTTGAATGGTTTTCAAAGTGACAGTCATTTTAAGAAAAACGTATGAAAAAAAAAAAGCTTTTAAGGGAGGCAGAATTTGATTTTCCTTACCAGGTTCCTGAAACTTCTTAATTGAAAGTGTAGGAATGTCTATACTAAAATTCTCTACTCTCCAAGAAGTAGGCTGGAGTATAATAATCTTCTGTAGAAACTCACATTCAGGGACAAAATCAAGGGATGCTCTACAGTGAGTCCATATAGGCTGGCTTGTGTTTTCTCTTAGAAGATTCATGTTACCTTTTCTCAATGCAAGCTACTTATCGATTTCCTGATGCAAACTTGCAGCCTTGCAGTTGTAAATGGAGAAACAACTCTATGGTTGAGCTGAGACTCTTTCCAGAGAGTATTGCACTTTCAGGGGGGATCTGCCAAATCTTCTCAAAATCTACATTTGTGTCACTACTGGGCTACTCTCCAATTCTTCCAATGCATCTAATTCTTCAGCACAGTAATACCTTCCTACACTTCTAGATAGATACACTTTAACAGGTTATTTACAATATGTACTTAGGGATCCCTTAATTGCATTTTTTAAAATTAAATATAACCATATAGTCAAGAACATAATGGGCCTTCATACGGAGTCTTAAAATAAAGTTTACTTGACCCTGAAGACTCTGAGACACAATCATCAGTTTTTAATAACAATCATCCATCTTCTCCTTTCTGTGATGCTGTTAACGTGGAAGGAAAGTGGCTTTTTCAAAATTGAAATGTCATTTGATTTGGATGTCTAACATTTCTACTACTAACTTCGTAAAGTCATCGCTGAGCTTTGTAGAACCACAAACTGAATATTTTCAAGACATGATGGTACACCTTTAAGTAAATGCAGCGTCAGAACTTTAATTTTTGAAATGTGTCATATAAGGAATCATAATCTCCTGTAATGAACAAGATCATCCCAGTGATGCAAAATTTTAAAGAACTTATCAAATCTTTTATTGGTGCCATCAAAATACCAGTCTTTATGATCTCCACAATAAGTTCAATGAAGCCATGGTTCCAAAATCTTGTGATGTGCTACCTCACTCAAATATTCAATAAAGATAGTCCAATAAATATAAGTTTAGATCAGGGCTTCTCAGGCTTGACTGTGCATACAAGTCACATAGGGATCTTGTTAAAATGCAGATTCCTATTCAGGTGGTGCCTGAGATTCGGATTTCTAAAAAGCCCCCAGATGGTGTAAGTGGTGTGGGTTTGGACAATATGCTACACAGAGCAGCAGCCTAGGCCTTTTCTGGGTCACAAATGGTATGTAGTCCAGTGGTTTGGCAATTTCCCTTCTACACTATATTGCTCATTTTGATAGGGAAATGAAATGCCGAATGACAGTCATTTCTGCACATTCTGTTTGTACCTTGTTTAGGTTTATCTCGCATAGGGGTCATGTAACCTTCTTCATCCAGCTCTCCTCGTGGGCTCCGTTCCGGGGCAAACACGGTGGGGTCAGCGCTGTACCTCTGGGTGCTGCTCTCCTCCTGGACGTGGGGTGCCACTGGCTTGCGTAGGGTGCCATTACAACAGGAGTCATCAAAAATCTCGGCTGTAGCCCCCTGAGCAACTGGAGCTTCTGGGATCGTGCTGGTCGTGGCTCTGTAGGGCACAGGCACTCCTTGCTCTGTAGCAAAACCCCCATCTCGGTATACAAACTGGTTCTGTCAACAGAGAGACACATTTAGACGGAAGTTATTATTAGGAATAGCTGTAAAAAGTTAACCAAAAGGATGTGAAAACTTGTCTTTCAGATAAAAGTCAGTTTCTTAATTGAGTTTTTCCCCTGAATGGCTGACAAGTTTGAGTTACAACCCCCTAAAATTCCAATTTTTCTTACTAAGTGATCCTGGGAAAAGAGTTTGGAAATACATATTTAAATTTTGCTGACCACCTAACATAATGACCTAATACAAAATATTTCATGTTATTTTCCCACAGTCACCTATTTTTGATATACAATTCAAATTTCATGACAAATGGAAATGTTATTAATTGTAGGCAGTCGACATTAAGAACAGATGTACAGTAATGCCATTTGGTTGGTGATATTTCCTTACTGCCTTCTCTTCTGTGGTCACTATGACTTTGAGTCTCCAAGTACCTAACTAGGGAATCATTACCGAGACTCTGACTTTTTAGCACACAACCTATAATCATGGAAATAATGATAACCTCCTCAACCAGAAGCATAATTTATGAGTCCAGGTAATCCTTCAGGTAAAAATCGAAAGCTACTATTGATGCATGGCATCTCAGTTTTGGATTATCTACTGAAATAAAACACATCCACAAAGCCAGCTATACAATCTACAGCAAAGTCTTAACTCACTGTTGGCAAAAGCAAAATGAGGAAACTATGGGGAGACAAGAGAGAAGAAACATGATAAGCAAAGGCCAAAAATACTAAAAGATGAAGGTTGATCATGAAATACTTACTCCTGACATGGGGGTGTAGGCAGGAGGTGGGCTGTGTCCAATTTCACTCTAATAGGAAAGAAAAATGGAATGATGGATATAATAAGAGGTAATATGAATGAAAAGGAAAAAAAAAAGAAAAGAAAAGCCACATGAATTGTATGAACCAAAGGGGAAAACATGCACAACAGTGAAGTTTGCTAAATGGTAAAATTTTATGCACTCTGACTACAAATGAGTTTATTCTTGTGTTTTGAGAATATTAAATATTGTATTAAATATTTTAATTCAATCCCTGAAAAGAAAAATTACATAGGTAAAGTAAAATTTTAAATGGATTAAAAATGTAGTTGACAATGAATATTTTTCTCATTAACCCTGGGAGAAAGATAAAAATGGTAAATAATTAACTATAGTTTTAAATAAAGAACCATTTCCTTCCTTACATGTTGTATGGCTGAAATGGCCATATACCACAGCATTGGTTCTCTCTTGTAAAAAGAAACTTATCTGGAAGGAGATAGAAGTGAATTTCAATTTTCCTTGAATAATTTTTACCACCAGGTTACATTTATTTTTCACTATTTCAGCAAAGGGTCAATTTCTTAGCCTTTCCTTTGAAAAAAATACATACTATTTTCTCCTCAGTATGATTTTTTGTAAGTTAAGAAACAGAAGAAAATCTTGGAAAATTAATTCCGTTCCTGGAAATATGCTTTGCATATATTACTTTCATGTATTTAGAATCAGTTAAAATTAGATTTCAGTTAAAAAAAAAGGCATCTGTATTCTTATAGCTTAATACTCTATCCTATGAGCTAAATAAAAGTGGATATAAAAATATGATAAAATATTAAGGACAATATTCTTAGAGTAAGTGGAGGGGGTTATATGAATATCAACACCATTTCTTAATAATATATGTATTTTAAATATATTTCTTGAGAACCTACTATCTATGTGCCAGGCACTCCTCTGGACACTGGAGATAATGAATAATGCAGATAAAAACAGTTGATTTTATGAAGCTTGCCTTCTCTGCACACATGTAGGAAACTTGGCTAAGTATTATTCCAGGCCAGTGTTTTTACAATTGAGAGATTCATAAAACAAACTCTAAGGAGAATATGGTTCCATGGGGATTAACTGTTTAATGTAAATTAATAGCAATTGTATAACACAATTTCCCATAATTAGTCTCCTGGGACTAATAACCCTGGGGCCAAGTTCTGAACGCCTACATTAGGTTTACATTTTAACTCTCCTCAAAACTGAGTCATTTACATGATGGGATTGAAACTATTGATCTCTTTCCTTCTCTAACAACTAAGAACGTCTTGAAGATCATGACATGGAAAATTAGAGATGTATTTAATAGGTAGTATTGTCCAGTAGACACATTGTTTGATGATTTGTTAGATCTCTGAGCTCCAGTCCCAGTTACAAATGATGTCATCTTTTTTTTTTTTTTAAGATTTTATTTATTTATTCATAAGAGACAGAGAGAGAGAGAGAGAGAGAGAGGCAGAGGGAGAAGCAGGCTCCCAAGGAGCAGGGAGCCCGACGCGGGACTCTATCCCAGGACCCCGGGATCATGACCTGAGCCGAAGGCAGACGCTTAACCAGCTGAGCCACCCAGGCGCCCCAAATGATGTTGTCAATTGTGAAACATCTCAGATCCTCAGTTTTATCCTGGGCCTCTCACCCCTTATCTTAGTGAAGACAAAGTAAGAAGGCCTATATAAATGAACTTTGTAAGCTCTGCACACTATAAAAACGTGAAGGTTATATAAAAAATTTAAATATTCACATCTGCTAAATCAAATTATTAAAGTCAAGCAATCAAAATGCCAAAGCTACTCATGAAAGAGGCATTTAAAAATGCTTCTCTGTTCTCCACATTGCCATCAGTATAGGTATATTTTGTTATTTTTTAGAAAGATATGAAATTAAATACATTTTTTTCATAAAATCTGAGGGGAATTTGCTGTATAGTCCAGTGAGATGTAAAACAGAGGGATGGTATGGGAACTATGACAAGTGCCTGGTGGAACTTGATCATATTATAAACCTCGGCCTTACCCTATCATTAAACCCTGATTATTGAGCAAGCATTTAACAAATATTTATTAAACCTCTCCAATGAAAGCACAGGAACTGTGAGATGCTGGAGATACCATGAGACACTAGGAGAGACATGACCACTGGCCTTTTGCAATTTACACTGAACAATCAAGTATTACCTGAGATTATTAGACGAAAAAGCAAGAGTAAGATGAAGCTGCGATGAATTTATTTGAATTCTATGATTACATATTAGAAGACAAGTATTCCAAAATATTAGTAATTACTGCTGTTCCTTTGACCTCTTACTTTACAACAGTTGCTGTGCTGGGTCATGTTTGACTAGAATCACAGCTCAGGAAACGGCACGGATGGCTATAGCTACACATTCTACATTTTATAAAACTTGAGGGAGAAGTGATCAAAGGAATAACTCGCAAGTCATTCTTCATCAGGAAATACTTTATTGTATATATTCATTATCTGGGCTAGACTCCCTTCAATTATAAAAACGTTGTGTTAAAAATAACTGGACCTCTTGAAGAGAGGCCACGCCATATTAGAATGCAGGTGCTCTCCCTGTTTTGACAAGTCCTTCCATCAGCAGCCTGCCAAATCTGGATCTGGACATACTGCCAGATACCATCACAGTAATAGGAGTATCTTCATGCTTTTCCTAGTTTTCTGCATTAAAATGGGAAAAAAAATGCTAAGCAAAGTCCCTTTAGAATTCATTGTTTTTGGGGTTACTGGCTGCTTTTTATTTTTTGTTTCTTTTTTGTTTGCTTTTTTTTTTTTTTCCTGTTTTCCATGATAAAAAGCACCTCATTCATTTCCCCCTGGAAGGGCAATGTAGCTACAAGGGAACATCTGTGAGGCCAATTAGCCGGGCTGGAAATGTGATATAATTGTTGTTTAAATATATTTAAATTACATGTTAATCACTATGTCATAATTTATAGGCTTTGAAAATAACTTTTTGTACTTGAGAGCCAAGCCAGATTTTACTTGTTTTTGCTGTTTTTAGTTTGTAACAAGCTCTTCTCATTCCCCGCCCCGCTCCCTCCCCCCCACCCCAATTTCCCACACTTGAAGAGCTGAACTTTTAATATCGAAAAGAATGACAGCTGCAAGTAAATTGGTTGAGTAAAAATTAAGATCCCCACAGTCAGAACACGCTGGAGTGACAAAGTTCTGAGCAGAACAAAGCAGTACTCTCAGTTAAAAGGCTTTTGTTGTTTTCGTTGTGCCATTTTCTGCTGTCCATCAAAACCCAGCTTTGCGGATCTTCAGGAAGTACCCGGTGCATCTGTTCAATTAGCTGGGGAGGGGATTTATGGTCAGCAGGGCAGAGATAGAAAGAGGTGGGTTATAAACTGGCAGGTGATAGGGAATTTGTTTCTGGTGGGGGGATTTGTAAGGGTGATGGAGAGAGTCAAGTTTAATTTCGTGGCCCTTTCACTGGGACACTGTATGATTAACTTGGACTCAGATGCCAGAGGTTATAGAGAAGGCAAATATCAGCAAATATATCAAATATGGTGTAAATTCACTTTACATATATCATGTTCTGAAGTTTGCATTTCAGTTGAATGATAAAAATATGAAGCTGTCTTATTATATGCACTGTATTTCTCATATCTATTGTTTTAATTAAAACATTATATTATTTAATATTGCTCCTGGGAAATTTTAAATTGTTAACCAGATGGGTTTTGTCTTTTAATATTTTTTTAATATCATACAAATCTATGTTCTTAGGAAACAAAAATACATACTTAATGCCTAAACTGTATCTAAATTAAACATGCACTTAATGAGAGAGAGGTTTTTTATCTTCAGATAATTGTTCCTATCAATATTACCTATAGGATTAAAGCTTCTAGGGTCAAGAAATACTCTAAATCCTTTTAACTAAAACACAATGTATCTCTGTAAGATGTTACTAATCCATCCACACTAATTTATTACCTAAACACATGTAACTATTAAGGGTTCTCAACCTTTTATCCTCCCTGGCATGTATTCTTAACACTCTGATGGGCCTTTTCACATTTTTACATGTCAGGTAGCAGACAGATAAAATGCTTTTGGCATTATGTCCAATTCCTGATGCATGGCTATAACTTACATATTTTTTCACAACCAAGTTCAACATATCAATGTTTGAGACACCTAGATTTAGAATCTCCATTTTTCATAAAGCAGCCAGAAGAAAGCAGCGTGTCCACGTATGAAAAACCAGCAAGAACCAGGAGAAACCCTATTGAATCTAGGCAGCTGGCTCACACATTTGCACGCACGCACGCACACACATATGTATATACAAATTACACAAAACATCTTTTGTCTATTTATGCATGTGTTATTTATTAATGCACTCATCCATCTACTTAGTTTGATTATGTGGAATGCTGCTTTTTGAGTCTAGAACTACAAACTTCCAATTATAAAATAAAGTCATGAGGATGTAATATACAGCATGGAGAACATAGTTGATAACATTGTCTTAACTTTGTAAGGTGACAAATGGTAACTACACTTATTGTGGTGATCATTTTGCAATGTATACAAATGTTGAATCACTATATTGTACACCTGAAAATAATATATATTTTATGTCAATTATACCTCAATAAAATATGGATATGTAAAAAAGGCATATGTTTCTTTGATAATCAAGAAGAAAAGCGATTGGGAACACCATGAGAAATATAAAACTACATTCCAAATTTAAGAATCAAACATAAAGCAAACTTAAATATAGGATGATTTGGACTCTTTAGTGAAGAAGAAGAAGAAGCAAAAAAGAATCACACTGAAAAACAATTAAAAAAATAGAAAAATAAACTTTTTTACTCTATCACACACAAAATAAATAAATTAATAATGATTAACAATAAATAAAAATATATACAATTATATAATAGTATTTTAAATACATCAACAAATAGTTAATAATAAGCCTGTGATTCAGTTGAAGGAATATTAACTTGGGCTCTCAT